GTACATGTCGTGAAACGTTAAATGCACTGAAAGAAAAAAGGGAAAAGGTATTTCGGGGTGAAACCGCTCGCTCAATGGCGCTGTGAAACTTTGAGCCGACGAGACCGGCCTGGGACGTCTTCTGTGGGAAATATGAAACTTTTCTTTTATTTTTCTCTCCCTCCAATATTTTCTTTTCGTCCTGGAGGGTCGTCAGGGCAACAAGCCTCCGGTCAACAGACGTCTGTCGTTCAGGAAACGGATGAACCCTAAGGGAAAGCGTGATTGGAGGCTTGTGCTGACGATCTCCCTGCACCTGGTGCTTTCTGACCTTTTTGCTGTTCACCAGCAGACGATGTCCACATTCGTGCAGCGGTCCCATTAGTTCTGTATTTATAGTAGCCAGGGCAGAGTCAATCATTCGCCCAGTTTCTTTTATGTATTTGCACCTGCAACAACCCAAAAATAGTAAACGTGTATGTGAGATTGCAACTTTGTATTGGATATATTTGTACGTTTTAAGGATACATGTTGCTTGCCTATTGTATAAGATATTGATAGCACACTGTATCTATGAAGGCTCTTTAAAGAAGTGAAAAGGTGATTTTTTTTTTGGTTTGTTTGTTTGTTGGAGACCTGATCAAAAATCTTCTGTGTGTATACGAAGTCCCTCACAGTGTGCTGATGATGTGTCCTCTGTTCTCGGTGTTAGTGTTGTGAAAGAAGTTCTAAGATGCTGTATATTGTCCCTTTACCTTCCTATTTACACGTCATTAACACCAGATTCACTTAAGCTAATAACTGTACTCGGTCACAGACACACCCATGTACAGCTCCGAGGCAGAACGCCGGATTACTTCTCTTCATTGCCTTGTCAAGTGTGGGTTTTTGTATGCGACGCTATACTGTGAAGTGATTTACATTTGGGGGAGTTTCTTGGAAAGGGTTGTTGGGTTGTAGTGTTGAGCACTGTTGTTTGCCCCCCTCCACCTACTGTGACGCGCTTGCTCTTTTTTTTTTCTTTCTTGGATGTACCAGAGTTTGGAGGGAACCATCAGTCCTGTCAGCGTATGACCTTCTCTGTGTTGAAGTCAATGGATTAAAATAATAAAGTCAAACTTCGCTTTCTGACTTTATCTTTGGGGTTTTTTTTCTTTTTGAGTAACAAGCTTTGTAGACTTTAATGACATTTCCCTGTAGCTCATTAACGACGTAAAAGGAAGTTATAATTGCGTATTTAAAACAAACAGTAACCTTCAGAAACTGTCATCGTCTTAACTATATACTGCAGTCTGTCCCTTTAAAAACATACATCAGTATGAAATATGTCAGCTTTTTTCTTTGTAATCATATTTCTTATTAACATCAGATGCTCATAACAAGTTAAGTAATCCCCACATTCAAGAAAATAAGGTCAGGTGTGTTAAAGAGTGGCACAAGTAATGAGAAAAAAGTGTGCACAAAGAAAACCAAGAAACCTGTTCAAATCTGCCAGTATTTAGAAAACATTTGTTTCTATTAACTTATGGCTTTAAAAAACGGTTTTCTGATTCCTGAAGTACAGAGTAGGATGATCTGTGAAAGCAGAGAGCCTTCACAAAATGTTCTTTTTGTGAAAATAAACAAACAACAAAAACACGCTAATGAATCTTCCAGGTGAAATCTAAATCTGGAGGTGGAAAAAACATTTCGCCATAAACCGGCCGCAGCCAGACGCACCTTGCAAGATTTTGTGATTGAGAGGTCAAAAGTTTTGTCCAACATCTGAGAAAAACTCTGAACTTGAGACCTTTTAAACTTAAAGTCCCCGTTCTACCATTCAAACACCAAAGAGAGAAGTTTGATAAGCATAATCAGTATCATCTGACAGCTACTGTATGTACTGCATTTCTTCACATGAACGTTTTGATGTGCCTAAGTCAAACGTCCACACAGAAGCATTTTTTCAGTAAATTTAATGTCTCCAAACATTAAATATTACAAGTTAATACAAGTTAAAATCAAACTTGTATATATTCCTCATAAAACTGAGACATTTTTTCCAGGGCTCTTTAGGACGAAGCTCATGAGGGTTGTTTTCCGGATCATGAGTAATTATTTTAATTAATTTCACTCAGCATACCAATATTTCTCCTCATCGTATAATTAAAATATTCTCTTGGCGGGAATCCAAGGAATTAGGAATGATGAATGGGAATCACACCAGGGCCTAAAACACTGAATTTCCAGACATGGATATCGATCTTCACTTTTAAAGATAAATCACCGAAATGAGCCTCTCCTCATGCCAACAGCGAGATGCAGACCGATGAACTAGAATGGCTCAAATTAAAAGTGGAGCGCAGAATAGTGTTCACAGCTTTAGTTAATCTGCCAACAAATCTATGCATCCACATCTGGCGGACGATGCCTTAAAGGGAAGATGATTGGGTCATGTCGGTCACATGGGTTACAAAAAGGATTCTCAAAAAGGTCTATTATGTCATTCTTCTTCTTCTTATGCTTTTTTTTCTTTTTATGAAGGTTCCTCTTTTGAGCGATCAGAGGCTGCAGAGTAGCTCCCAGAGTAGAGAGAGGCTTGCTTAATTGCCTGTTGAGCTTTTATATTATTAGTTCTGATGCTGCTAATGATGCTGATTACTGCTTTTTATCTAGGTGCTTATTGACTGTCACTTTGTTGCTGGTGCACTGGGACTTTCCTGACACAGAGGCAAATAAGGGATTAATTAGAAGACATTATTCTATTCTATTCTATTCGGAGAGAACATGTAAACTTCACACAGCTGAACTCAGAAACTTCTCGTTGTGCACCATGCAGCCTCCCAACAAATCAAAATTAATTAAATAAACGCAAACATATAACATCTAGTTTTGTGTACAAGTGTAATAATACGGAAGAATGTACATTTTCCATATATAAAAAACAAAGTAAGGATTAAAAGCCTGCATAAAATAAAAATAAAAAAATGCAAAGGAAAATGAACTAATTTTTTTGCTAAAATTTATAATGAATGAAAAAAGTACACTTTTTTTTTAAAACAAAACACGTTTTTTGATATTTTGAGAATCAGCAAGTGGAAAAATGATTGTAACTTATTTTTATAAGGTGGACACTAGGTGGAGACACAGAGTAGTAAAGCTTAGTTTTGTTTTTTGTTTTTTTTTATCTTCCTGTATTAATTTGCTCGAGTCCACCGTGGGGGGGAAACAGTTTCAGTGAAGCGACCAGAAGGCTGAGAACAGCAAAGTTTTGTGATCAGATGAAGTGACGCCCCTCTTGGCTGCTGGACAGTTTTGTGTTTTTTTTTAAACAGGCCTGGAGACGACGAGCGCTTACAGATAAAACCCAAAGACGTGGGGACTCCCTATTATAATAACACCAAAATGAGATCACTTTAAAACGAGTTAGAGGGTATGAGAAAAAAACAAAAAAACAAGAAAGCAGTGAAAACTCCAGGATGCATCTTCTTTTAACCAGGCTGAAACCTCAGGGGATAAGTGTGCAAACATGAGTCACCGGCAGCACGCGCTGTGCTTTCAGCCCAGTGAAGCGCGCAGGCTGCTATTAAAAGACCACGCGCTCCCTCCCCATAATCGATCCTGCCACGACACGCAGAGTTTTCCACGCTAATAGACTGGAAGTACTAAAAATATTCCCGTTAGCATCGCCCATGAGAAGCTCCGTAGTTTTAACCCGACTGGACGAATCAAACCGTGGGAAGAATAATGCAATGCAGGTGTTGATGAAGCAAAAGGGGAAAAAAAGAACCTCTGCGGGTGAAACTGCGGTGTTCATGACCGTCTGGGAGATTATGGACATTTTAACGAGGCGCGCTGCACAAAGGACCGGGTTCATAATCACACCACTTTCCATAAGGAGCCTTAAAGAGGGTGGTGGGGTGGGGTTATTTAGGGTCACCTGTGGCGGCTGCTGTAGTTTATTGCCCCGGCCCTCCTAATGGCGTCCGCGCAGAGATGTGGCGGGGTAACTTACAGGTTCACAGCCGTGCCATTCAATGAGAGCGCGGGCACTCTCGCTGCTGTGTCCACTCCTTCCTCTGTGGGGGAAAAACTGTCGACTCCACTTCTGCGACTGAACTTAACACAGAGACAGAAAGAGAGAGAGAGGAAGATGGGGGGGAGAGAGACTGGCTTAACGATGCCTACTGCATCTCCTTCCGCCCTCACGCGGACAAGAAGGAGCGCGTCTCGCGGGGAGCAGCCAGGAGGACGTAAATCGATGCAGCTGGCTGTGGTTGTCCTCCTGCCCTTTAGATGCTTCTGCGTAAACAGAGGCACTTTGCAGTCCCGGAATCGCACTTAAACGCTCTCGGTTTCACACCCTCAGACTTCGCCAGGCCTTTGGGAAGGCCACTGGAGAAAAAAAAAAAAAAAAGAAAAAAAAAAGGCGGCACTTCAGTGTTTGGACGGCTTGAAATGAGGCTGACCGCCCAGTGCGGCGTTTCCGGGATGTAAAAGGATGCAAAAAATTAAATATTATTATTATTATTATTTGTATTTAATTAAGCACAAATGGAGACTAATTCTTTATCTTCTTCACTTATCTAACTTTTTTTTTTTTACATTAGGTCAAATGTGAAAACTTCAAATGATAGATCAGGTTAAACTTCTGTTTTTACACAAGTTTGGTTCACGATTACTAAATCAACCAAATGGGCAAATATGCATGGGGGGTTTTCCCACTACTTTAAATTCAGATGTTTGCGTACACTAGAATTATGTTGTCTGATTTCAGGTTTGTTTTCACACCTCATCACCCGATAGAGCTGGACTCGGTTCAGCGGGACCTGCAACATTCACAACACAGCTTCTCAAACAAACCGGAGCTCGAGAGTCACATATCCCCTCTTTCGTCTGTGGCAGAATTAGTGACGGAAATAAATAAAGAATGAAAACAAAACACTTCTAATCTACTGGAAGATGCTGAAAGCTTCCATTTTCTTCACATAATAACGAAACGTGGAATTGTAGTTTTTCTTTATTTTAATGTGATATAAATATATCTGCTTCAACAATGGGCTCGGCGTGAGCGGCGGATAAGCGACGGATCGGAGGAAGCACTGGCAACGTATGAATGTGAGCAGAGACAACATTGCTCCATTGGGCCTATCGATACAGGACATAATGGAATAAAAGACTTTCATTATCCACAGTGAAAATAGCCTCTCTAGATAACTCAGAGAGCAGGAAGCCATTACTCCAAAAGCAACCTAAAAATCCACATTACAGTTCACACATGCCCTCTAAGACAAAGACCTTAATTGTCAAGACATGTTCCGTCCTCAGGTTAAAAACAAAATTCAAGACTTTGGCCGTTGATGTCGTAGCTACATTTTGGCGGGACAACTGTGATGTCATCACCTCAGCTTTAAAGTGCAGAGGTGAGAGAGCGGGACACGGTTTGGGTGTTTCTGCTGCAGGAGTCATGCAGATACTGATAAAACACACGTTAATCTCTGGAGTTAAAGGAAGAAACAAGCATTTCTCTACAGAAATATATTATCACTCTGGCATTTCAACAAAATGAAATATTGTGGAGATCCCAGCTGAACTAAAGCAGGAAGAGTCTAAGCTATAGTGAGGAAACAAATTGTCTTTGTATGTAAATCTTTGGTTTGAACTTGATTTATAGGGAAAGAGAAAGAGGGGCCCTCCCAGGGCCAGAATCACAATCCATCGACGGTTATCAGAGCTGACAGAGCGATAGAAAAGGGGAGCGCGGCCTGAGAGAAGAATGTCTGAGACTGTGTGAGAGTTTATCCTGACATCTCTAAATCTGGCAGATTTTATTTTTTTAAGAGGCTTGAGGTTGGTCCGGATTGAGGCCAGCAAACCGCAAGGTCAGTTAAAATTCCAGAGGAGTGCATTAAGGGATCCATCTGGCCCCGCTCACAAGATTCATCACACTGTGGGAATAATGCGGTGGAAAAAGTAAAGAGACAAATTTGTGTAGTGAACGAACCCACAAGAAGAAACAAAGCGGAGACGACAACAAGCAACAGAAGCTCAGGAACGTCCTCAGAAATCCTCCTCCCTTTGGAAACATGTCGTAGGAATTTATTGTGACGCGGAAGCATGCCAGGTTCCTCGGTTTGCACTGCGGACGCAAACATTTTCACAAGATGAGCAGCTTTAGGAAAACTCTGGAAACATTGGGAGCACCAGCGACTTTTTTTTTTATATGTAATTTGAAACCATGCAGTAGATTAAACCTTCATATTTACACATTTAAACCTCTCTCCTTTAATGGAAAATAGAGCACGTACAAAAAGTCCACACACTGCTGCTAAAATGTCAGATTTCTGTTTCTGTACAGAGATCAGATGAATCATTTCTGAAATTCTTCTTATACAGCTGAATATGTGGTGCCCAATTAAACTAATACTTTGCTTGAGCGCCTTTTAATATTTGAGCATTTCTGTGTTGAATGGTGAAGTTCTTATTAATCTTCAGCTTCGCAACATAATTTTAACATACAACATTAACGAGGAGTATTACTGATGGCTTATGAATATTGTGTTCTATCAATGATGTTCCGTGATTTGTTTTTTTTGTTTGGTGTTTTTTTGCTGGAACTACAAAATAAAAGTGAGCTTAATCTGGTACCGATGCATATATCCTCATGCTTTTAGAGGACATTAAATGTATTTCTACAAAATGTAGCAAAAATGCAATGCACATTTTTTTTTGAAAGAAAATGCTCCCTTCTTGCCACATAACCCTGATATAAGAGCATGACAGTCCACAACAGCTAATACTTGCAGTAAAATGTCTTGCACCGTGTTCTGTGGAATATTTAATGCCTTCTAGTTTTCTCCTGACTGACACCTTTTTGGCAATCTGATTTTTCTGACGCTTTGGAAGCTCTTGACAGACTTTGATTTTTGCTGTGAGCTGCAACTGAAAAATCTTCTAGTACAAGTCAACTTTGTTGGGTTTGGCACTTTAAATGAGCAGCTTCTGACTCCTGGTTAGCATCAGTTTGACTGCAGGGGTCAACTTGGAAGACAAAAACATAATACAATTACTGGGTGTCCACACTTAAGATATAAATTGTTCAGATTATTTTGCCCTCTTTGAAATATTTCAGTTTGTTTTTTGGATCAGCTGTACAGGTCATAGGTCACATTAAAGGTAAAAAATGTCCTGAAATTATTCATCTTGGTCTTGTTTTCACATCAGAAAATCTGTCATTTCAACAGGGTGTGCATACATTTTATACTCAATGTGCATGCAAACATCTTGGAGTGTTTTGATTAGCTGTTCCACCTCACCAAAAGGATTTTACATCATCTCCATTGACATGTTTGACAAAAAAGAAAATAAAAACTTTCTGTTGCCTTCTCACTCTGCAGGAAATGAATTAAAGGAACAATTTTAAAGTTGAGGTAAATTTCAGCTTCGAAGCAGCAACAGTATTAAAATAAAACATAAGTCTCTCATCTTTGACTTTCCATAAGAGTCCAGAACGGTGCGTCTTTGACAGCAGGTCACACAGGCTCTCCTTTGTCCGACAGAGAAAGTTGGTGGATTTTAATCGTCGGAAGGTCTCCGACAACAACGGCTTCTTGTGGGGGAGTCTCAGGACTGAGGATGCAGCAGCAGTTGTGGCGGAGGCTCTTGTTGCACAGCTTGGCCACCTTGGCTCTGCTCGTATCGGCCGGCCCCTCCCCGCCGCCGATGGGACCCACGGAAAAGACTTTCCATTCCCTGCTGTCCCTGGAGGAAGGAGTCCTGGAAAGGGCCACCGACGAGGAAGGGCTGAGTCTGCAGGGAGCCCCCCTGCTGTCGAGGCTCAGGGTGAGGCCCTGGCCGTGACCTTGGGTTTGACTTTGACTTGTGCTCAGATGGTGGTGGTGCGGTCTGGGAGTCATCCTCAGACAGTGAACTCCGAGTAAACTCTGAAAAGCCTTTTTGAACTCCTGGTTGGAGCACGGGTAGATGATGGGGTTGATGCAGCTGTTGAAGTAGCCGAGCCAGAACGTAATCTTGAAGACCGTGTCTGAAGGCCTGTATGCGGGGAATATGGATCCTGCAGCGACAGGTGACACAGAGGAGTTCAGAAGATCGACAGACAAACAAGCAGAAGCAGAAGTGATGTGGACACTTTCGGTGCAAATTTTTTTGAAGTATAAATTTAGGAACGTACACTGCTTAGGACGGCACTTTCTCTGCAGGTTCTTTTCTGTAAAACGGAGCAACGTCCACTGTTTGAAAGAACAACTGCAGTGAATGCCGTGGGCCTCAACGGCCCACTATAAATATGAATAGAACAAGTCAACAGGATATACTCTTGACTTTAAATGCTGGCAATCTGACGGAGTTCACAGAGTTAATGTTGGGATGTATTTACTCTGCAGGGCACAGACCCACTAACTGCACCTAATGTGCTAATCACATTTAACTCCAATATAGGATGCCTTCATTTTGAGAATATTGGTGAAATCCTATTTTAACAGTGAAGCTGTGCAACGCTGACTGCTCTTTTCCCCTCTCATAGTCGCTGTAAGAGACTCAATGCTTATAAGTGGTTAATAACAAGGCAATAGCTGTTTGAAGATGTTTTGCTCTTAAAATAAATTTTAAAGAAAGTTAGTGAACTATAATTTCTCTTGTAAGTCGGTTAATAAGATGTGCTGTAGTTATCGCTGCCATGCAGAATCTTATTATATGTGGATGTATTAATTGATACCGAGAGGGAAAAATGTGTAATTGTGTTTTCATTAAAAAAAGAAAAAAAGTTTAATACAAACAAAAGATATGCCAACGAGCAGTCTCATAAATAACAACAAAAGCAAATTAAATAAAACTTTCATAAAGGACAGTTCAACAAATGACCCAAACTAGTTTGATTTATAATTTGAGAGCAGGTGCTTGTGCAGGCAAAGTGCTAAACTAACCAATATTAGCCCTGGCCATGCTGCAAGCTCACTTGAGGTGATCTGGATTTAAATTAAAACCTCCGGTTTCCATTGCCACTGCCTCTCCGGAGACAAATTTCCATAAAGCAACACGTGAACCGCAGCCACAGCGATAGTCATTTCCTCTTTAATATTAAACTTAACGACATGTTGTTTTAATTTCACAACATTTTCACTAAATATAACCTCATGACTCAGTCTCAGATGTGGTGTTTAATAGATTTGCAGTAATAGACTGTGCTTCCCTTGATTAGAGGAAGCACTCACGAATATGAGTGGGCTCCTTAATGAAGAAGCATAGGTAATGGCTTAAAGCGGGGTATTACATGCAGCTCTGCTTGTCTTTGTACATGTAAGGTGACTTGCCACGTATTCAGTGGGAGACAATGAAGCATTAAAATAATTTAAAGCCCGTCTGCTTGCACTCCACCTCTAAGGCCGATATCCGTCCTCTCAGCCGGAATGGTAAAAGCTTTGCAGTGAAATGCTTTATTGCAAGCTGTTACTGGTAGAAAAAAAAAAAAAAAAAAAAAACTGAGCTCTGTAAACGTAAGACGGTGATGTAATCATGAATGAACATCTGAAAAGAGGATAGTCTGAGAGCAAATAATTTTTCTGTCTCCATCGACGGCTTTAGTGGGGAACAATTCAATCATTGTTGTTATTCCTGATAGATTCTTTTCTCTCTTTGTGTGTGTGTGTGTGTTTTTTTTTGTTGTAAAAACAGAGGGGTGTTACGGCCGTTACATAAACGTATTGTGTCTCTGCAATTTTGTATTTTTGAAACCTTCAAACAGACAACATGCTTCGGCAGAGGCTGTTGTGTAACACCGGTTTGTTTTGCCACGGGTTGTTTGTTGTATCTATTGAGATTTTAATCATGCAGCCACCAAAACATGAACTCTTTGAAAGACACAATAACACAAAGAAGGAGGGGATTGTTGCACACCAAAACAAAACAAAAAAAAGAAAGAAAGGGTTATACAAAATGCAGAACAAACATAAAGACCTAGTCCATTATTATTATTATTATTGTTTTAAAGCATCATAAGCCATATTTTTATGAGTCGCAGACTTTACACTGCCACAGAGGTAAATAGCGAGGCTGACAGATGTGGAAAGGAAATCAGTGAAGTTGTTCTGCTTTGTGTTTTTGAGGTTACAGTAACATGCTGAATCTGGAAACAGTTTCTATTTTTTACATGTCCCGGCTAAGAAAATGATCAATATTTCTTAGAATACACTCATCGATGTTTGACTTTAGAAATGCTGTGATAGTTTTTTTTTTTTAAATAAATATGTATCATTTCCTTTACTTTTTGGACAGCTGGCCTTTCGTTGTTCTTAATATCAGGCAGAATGTTTTAGTTTCCTCCAGCTCTATCTGTTTTCCATGGAGGAATTACAACAGCCTTTCCAAAACCTGTCACCAAAAGCCCACATCGTCACTGGATTTATTTAAGCTGACACTTTTTTTTTTTTTGTGCAGTCGTTTTGGGAAATACACAGGAAAGATAATAAAAGAAAATCAGTATTTTTCTCCATTTATCCATCAGTTTGTGTACCGTAGCCACTGGTTCAGATGGGGCTTTTCTTTCTTTCTTTTTTTTTTTACGCACAAAGTAATTGTTTCATCTCACTGTGCCAGACAAATCAGTCAAGACTTTGGACTGGACAGATCTAAAGGTCGGATTTAAAGGTCTGAACCCAGGCAATCAGTTTTATTGCATGTTGGTGAATTTCATCAAGACAGAAAGATGAGCAATACTGGGGCTGGGATTTTAGTGGAGGGCCGCAGTGATTGATGCTATCCTCAGGTGGGCAGTTAGTGCAGATATCTGTATTGAGGGTATCAAGATGATGACTAGAGGGGTTTATCTGATATAGAACCTGTCACGAGTCGTGAGTCATAAAATCCGAAGCCGTCAGCAAAGAAGCAATGTGTGAATTAGCCACCTTTCCATCATTTGGCTCAGTGAAACTCAGTTTCAACCAAAAGTAATCATGAAGTTGAAGGGAAATATGTTGTGGTTTTCTGTTTTCTCATAAATTAATATGTGAAAAAAAAAATACAGCAGTCGTTGGTATTCGCATCCGTGTGTCAATACTTTACAGCGTGTCATCTTTCTCTGTCATCGTTGCTCCGTTGTGTTAGAGTTCTTCTAGCGTTATACGTCTAGAAATCCAATTTGTAGCCTATTGTTCTTTGCAAAAATGTATTGCTAAACATAAATCTTCAGCTTTTGGCTCAGATTCTAATCAGTTTGGACTTTTGAACACATGGAGGTAATTTGATCCATTGCAGCTCCGGCTGTGTGTTTAGGGCTGCGGTCCGTCTGTAAGGTGAACCTTTGTGTCAAGCTCCACGTTCCCATCAAATCGGTCACAAAACTATTTTTACATTTTTGTGTAGCACCTGCCAGGCCCAGATTTCAGCAGCCGGCATGTTGAATTGATAAAGCAGAGCACCAGTTTCCTGATTAGAAAGAATTTAAATGATATTAGTACAAAAATAAACCTCATGTAAGGTGTTCTAAAGTGTTCTGACATCTATGACAACCTTGGGGGCTTTTACTGGGATGCTACGTGAAAACATCAACGTCCTTTCATAAAGTTTAGTTGAGGATTTGTCCCTCGAGGGCTTAACATCCGCACCAACACATCATACCGACTGCCTCCTGATATGGATCTAATTCAACCCAAGTGCAGGACATGGCAGGAAGCTTACGAGGGCTCGAAGGACATTGGAAGCCAAACAACAACAACAACAATAATGATAATAATAATAGAACCAGAACTATTGAAATGTGTGCAGCTCCTCTCTCATCAAGATAAGCTGCCATGCACTTCATTCACTGTTGAAATTCACCTGTTTCTCTGCCTGTTGCATTCCTGAGTCCCTCTTTTTCTAAGGGCTTTCCTGGGAGAAATAACATCCTTCTGTACGACTCTTACCATCTGCTGGGGAACCTTTCACGACTCGAGCCTGTAGCCGTTATCTAACCGCTGTCGTACCGAGATCCGGTCCAATCCGGACCCCAAACACCCAGGCGTATTGGACAAGTCACCTGTTACCTTCTCTCATTTCTCCAAGCAACCCGGCCCTGTCGAAGGGGCGGCGGGCCGAGACGCTTCGGTGAGAAACAGAGAGCTGAAGAGACAGACTCCCATCCTGTCTGCTGACTGATAGCCTGAGATCCTGAAAGCAAGTGACGTTTCCATGGAGATGAGGATGGAGATCTCCGTGCTATTCTGCCGATCCGCAACTAGATAAGTTCAGAACTTCAGACCTGTTTGTCCGCTTCCTTTCTTAGATCAGATCAGGCTAAAAAGGAAGATCTTTTCATAAAAGGGTTTGATAATGTCTAATAAAGCGTCCATTTGAGCTTTATTTTTGGTCTTCACTGCTCGTTCTTTGATTTGAGTTGGTTTCATCCTAAGTATATTGATGCTAATATTAGCTCATTGGCAAGACGGTTACACTTTTTGCCAACCTGACTGTAGCACCTTTTTCCACATGCCCATACTGTCTTGCAGGCATGATTTCTTCCACCGTTCTTTCAACAAAGGCTCTTTTCTTGCCACTCTTTCCCAAAAGGCACATTTGTAGGATTCATGACTAATTGTTGCCTGTCAACAAATTCTCCCACATGAGTCTCTGCAGCTCTGCCAGAGCTACCGGCTAAATTTAGCAAACAGGGAAACCAGGAAGACCTTATAAAAGCAGTCGAGAAGACTGCGGGCAAACACATAGAGCAAAATGCAGGCTACTAAATTATCACATGATGTCTTCTTTTTTGGTTTTGTCAGGAAGTAAAGCTCTTATTTTATTTTTGCATTATTTTACGCCATGAAATAACACAGAAGAGGATCTTCTGAAATGTCAAGGGGCGAGAAGGACAGCCCTCAAATAAACAAGGCCTAAATAATAAGGCCCAACAACTTGTCATATTTAGGATCTCAAGCGTGATCCTAGTCCTGTCCTGATCCTGTGTCAGTACGATACAGCTGCTTGGTGACTCATTGCTGCATCTATCATTGTCGACGGACATATGTGGCATGTGGTATGAGAAGTGACACCAGTGTCAGCGTGGAGCGTTTTTCAGCACAAGCTTTCACACTCGCTTACCAGTCAGAAAGTACACAACCCAATGGTCAGCTATATTTACCACCATGAGACTATGGAACAACAACAAGAACAACAAGATTTGTCAAGGTGCGTATCGACTGGCTTCGAATTTCCATCTGACTCGCGTGAGGACGGAAAAGCAGGAGATTTATTTCCACTCCATGCATGCTAGTCATGTCATTGTGATGGTCTTATCTGTGACGGAAGGGGTGGCACTGAACGAGGTGAGTCACAAAGACAGTGCAAGCTGGAGCGGAGACATCTCAGACAAGGGTCCGCATTTCAAATGCATGTCGGTCTGAAATTCTTGGAGCTTGTTTACAGATAGTAAGGACAGGAGGACGTCAGAGATATGAAAGATTTATACGGGCTATTTATAGGTTGTCTAACCTTACATTTACAAGCGTGCTGAGCTCTGGAAGCCACAAGGCTTGTCTGGAGTCTTGGAACTCCTGCCTGAAGCCACAAAGGAGTGATTCAATTAAAATGCTCTGACCATTAAACGAGGAAGCACTTAAAAGCACCGGCAGCAGAATAAATCAATGAGTAGGATCTGTTCAATTAATTAATCCAGAAGGTAAATAGTGCTCTAAACGTGGACTCGGATGTCACTATAAGTGTGATTGGACGAGAGCCACATATAGGTTGCGCCGTGGCTACAGGCAGTGAGGAACTGTGTCACACATTTCAACCTGCCACAGTAAACTGGAAGCCCATTGAGCTAGCACTATTAGCGCTTTCCTCCAATTCAGGGAAGGCAAAGCTAATCCTCAAGTTAATGACAGCTTTTACCGCAAAGGATCAGTGGCCATCGAAAGTTGCTGAGAGTCAAGATCCCACCTTGAAAATATTTCACTGAAACCCAGATCCTCAAGGACGAAAGCAACGCTGAAATCAAGTGATGTTATCTCAAGCGGGTAAGAAAGATCCTGCTTTTCATGCATAGACTTCAAATACAGTATTGAGGTTAAAAGCTTGTAACAGGAGTAGGAGTAGGTGTTTATTTAAGCTGCAACTTCTGCGTATACCCTCTCTTTTAGTTTCAGACTAATATAAAAAAAATGATTTCTTTTACGTCCAAACAGTAAACCTAATGTACAAATTGGTCTGATTAACCAGTAGTATTTCTATTGCATCCTGTTGATATGTTTAGCCAGATGGTGGAAGTCGTCACCAACATTGCGTCCAAGGTAAAGATGAAAATACTCACCAATTGGTAGCACCAGGAAGAACGGCAGCCAGCACAACACAAAGCAGCCAACCACAATACCCAGCGTCTTCGCAGCTTTCTTCTCGCGTGAAAACTTGAGTAACCTCAAGGCGAAATGCGTGCGGCTGCGCAGGGACTCCTCCTCCAGTGCGGTTGTGTTTCCACGGTGGATCCTGAGAATCACCTGCTCCGAGTCTGACTTCTCCGTCTTGTGGCCCTCTCGGAGGCCCTGGCTCTCTCTGTGAGCGACGACATAAACTCGACAGTACATGACCAGGATGATGGTCAGGGGGAGGTAGAAGGAGCCGACGGCTGAGAAGATTGCGTATCCTGGCTCCTCGGTGATCTTGCAGATGGACTCGTCCTCCGGCGCCGGTTCCTTCCAACCAAACAACGGTCCGATGGATATGACAATGGAGAGCACCCACAGCAGCATCACTGCCAAAAGAGCCCTGCGCTTCGTCATGATGGACGGGTAGCGCAGAGGATAACTGACTCCGATGTAGCGGTCCACGGAAATCACGCAAAGGCTCATGATGGAGGCCGTGCAGCAGAGCACATCCACGGCCGCCCAAACGTTACAAAAAACCCGTCCGAACACCCAGCGGTCCAAAATCTCAAAAACGGCTGAAAAGGGGAGCACAGTGGAGCTCAGCAGCAGGTCTGCCACTGCCAGGTTAACAATAAAATAGTGTGTGACCGTCCGAAGGTGGCGGTGGCAAACCACAGAGAGTATGACCAGGATGTTTCCCACCACTCCGAACAGGATGAACACACCGAGAATCATCCCGAGAGCCACAGTCTTCACCACCCTGAGCTCTGGGAAGAAAATGTGGCTGCAGTTCGTGCAGTTCTGGGTCAGAGAAGCTGGGGTCATGTTGTCCACCACAGGACCCATCAGCTCCAAAACGCTGCTGGTCGGTGGGCACGGGTCCGTGGAAAGCACAGCACCTTCAGTTTAGTTCTCTGAAGAAAAAAGGGGCTTCACGGCATTCTCGCGAAAGCCATCAGAGTAATGATCACATCAAGGCAGTCTTGTCAAAACATAATTTGAATGATGAGGCCTCCTGCAAATGAGCCATTATGCCGGCAATGCACCGACCGGGATGCTTCAAGAATTACTGAGAGAGAAGAATAAAATATGCAAATGAAGCCTATTTTGTTGAAATCAGGTAATCCGTCTTGAAAACATTTGCGATGTTATTTCTGATATTATACAGCAAGTGCAAAGCGCCGACAGTACAGCACTGCAAAGGGGATAGATACGCGGGTGTACCTTGCATCCTCTCACCAAAGATAAAAATTTCACGCCGGACCCAAATTTTAAGTCTTTTGTATTAAAAGCTGGAACGAGGAGCCACTTTTTTGGGCTGAGTGGGAGGTGAGCAGCACTTAACAGACAGCCTCTTCCCATAGCATGCAGGGGCATATTGAGCTGCAGCATTCTCCTGCAGCCTCCTGCATCTGTGACAAGAGAGAGACAGAAGAACGGGTGTAAAGAGAGCAGGCACATTCATCACACGCACAAAAATATATACAAACATTAAAAAAAACATCCATGATTTTGCCTAGTGTTTCAGGTTTGTAGTTTCCTTTTTCTTTTCCTTATAACTGTTGCTCAGCCTTGTGTAGTCTGTGGGCGAGAAGCGGCGGCTGAACTACGGTTGGTGTGAGCGCAGACTCCTCTTGCTTACCGAGTAAACTAAAAACGTGAGGTACAGGAATTTGGAAAACCACGTTGACATTTCCAGAACACAGCGCACTATTGGAAAGAATCACCGTTGTTCCTTCTCTTCACAATTGCGCATTTCACTTTGTGTCGGTCTATCGCTTAAAATGTCAATAAAATCCTCTGATCTATGTGGAGGCAAGGCAGAAATTGGTTTGCAAGGCACTGTATAATCAAACTTCAAAGCCACATCTCTCCAGGATGTTGTCACACACTCCTGGCGTGAGAGAGCTGCTGGATGAAAAGAGTCCATTTTAATAAGAAAATATATATATTTCCAGCTACTTGGGTAAATGTTATGCTTTTTTGCACACAGACCCTCCTTTGCACCAGCTGGTGATCTCTGCTTTCAGAATCGGACTCGGCTTCATTCGACAAGTTTGCGCACACAGACAAGGAATTTGTCTTGGACTCAAATTTTCTTTCAACGAGGAGAGCATTGCCTTGCTAAAAGTAAGTAAGCATCTCCATTTTATATGCAAAAACTTCCTCATGTTGATGGACACAAAATTAATCAAGCTTGTGCAGATTAAATGAATGTAGATAAGACAAGTAAAAGTACTGTGGCATTGTTGCTAGTTTGGATTTTGCTAATCTGCTTTGTTGAAGAATGAAAAGGTATTTTGAGTTAATCTATCTATCTATCTATCTATCTATCTATCTATCTATCTATCTATCTATCTATCTATCTATCTATCTATCTATCTATCTATCTATCTATCTATCTATCTATCTATCTATCTATCTATCTATCTATCTATCTATCTATCTATCTATCTATCTATCTATCTTTCTATCTATCTATCTATCTATGTTTTTGCAGGTTAACTCTTTTTCTGGCACAATGTGCAAAAACTAAATAAATAAAACCCATTGGATGGACATCAAAACACACCACCTCAAGCTTCTCACCCACACAAGTCGAAATAGAAACCTTGTAACAATGCCCATAAGGGATTTGTGAGAGTTGCACAAATCCCAAAATGAGCATCTGTTTTGTTCAGTCAGACTAAAATCTTTAAGCAGCATTGGAAGTATTAGGACCCTTAAGTTTAAAATATGTAAGACTCTTGTGGTAAAGCACAAGGTCATTTTATTAGAAAATTACAATCTGTCAGAAAACTATTTTGTTCAAATGATTTGATATTAAAATTATTACTTCTTTGTACATTAAGCTGAAAAGTGTGGCATGTGTGTGCATCTTATCTTATCTGAGCATGCGCAGCTTTTAGAAACACTTTTTGCTTCAATTGCAGCAGCAGGCCTTTAGGGGGCGTACAGGCCTGGGCTTCCTGTTGGAAGGTGAATCCTCCAGCTTTGCCAGCTCTTAGCAACCCTGTTCTGCAGAACAGCATCTCAGCATGGTGCTTCCACCACCACGTTTCACAGACGAGACGGAGCAGTTAGAGGGATGAGGAGCATTCGTTTTCCCCATGCACATATTGTTTGCCATGCAAACCAGAAAGTTCAAAGTTGGTTTCATCTGACCGTGCAGGGGAAACATTTGCTGTTTCCCACTGTGTGGCTTCTACCTCTTCCAGGGCTGCTTATCAACTCTTTCTACATACGCTGTCCTCGTGTTCACTTTTTCCTTGAGGCTAAATGTGTGAAATATAACTCGCAACAGTTGTCGTGACTACAGATTCTTCCATCCGAGCCGTAAATCTCTGCAGCTTCTCTGCCTCTTTGCTGTTTCCTCTGATTAGTGTGTCAGTTTATGTTTAAGTTTATGTCTCATACAGATTCCCAAGGCCTTCACAGAAACAGTCAGATTCATACTGAGAACAATCCGGTCAGAAGGATGCGTCAGATTTAATTTAAGGGTCTCTGACTTGCAGGAAGGAGTACACGTGCAGAAGCGACGTGGGAAAAGTCGCATATGAGCAAGGAACCAAAAAAAAAAAAAAACAGTTACACAAATATAGGACTGGTTCTCATTTGATGCTGGTATTTCAGGAAAATGAGTTTTGGTTTCTACTAATTATTCAGAAGATTTTCACTCTTTGTCCTTTCACACATCTCTGAGTGAAAGGGCAGGCATACTGCAGGGCAGCCCCCACAAGACAAAATCCCGGGGTTGGAAGCTGTCACACAGCTTGCTCCGAAGGGAATAGTTTAAAAAAAAAAAACATGAATTTTTGATTCTCCTCCAATGCAGGAAGAGCTGCAGGTATAAAGCTCCGTGTTTGGCAGTTCTCCAGTCAGATCCACAACAACAGCTGGACTGCGCTCTCTGCATGTACTTAATCCTAGTTGGTCAGAGGTAAACTGGCCTTCGTGGCTCGGATGTAATCTCAACTCCTTCACCGCTGCGCGCCGGAAAAGCCCAGCGCTATAAGAGGAGCGCACGGCGCGCCCGACGGCACCTGACAGAAAGTTCATTTCCAGCGCAATGAAATGACAAATGGACAGAAAGACAGAGACAGAGAGAGAGAGAGAGAGAGAGAGAGAGAGAGAGAGAGAGAGAGGGAGAGAGAGTGAGAGAGAGAGAGAGAGAGAGAGCTCACACACTAAAAACCTCCACTGTTATCATTAACATCAATTCTGAAGGTTGGCTTTGGATGACCGCGCGCAACAATTTCAGATTATTTCTTCCAGTGTTTAATAGCTACAACTAAATAATATAATATTATTACGTACTTTTATGGTTTACCACATACAAGTAGGTAACCAATAGTATCCATAAATAAAATGCCAGTGCAGACAGATTTTAAAAATCGCAACATTAAGAAAAAAAAATCCAAAAAAGACAAAGGAAAGCAAGTTAGGCACACACACACTACAAAAAAAAAAAAAAAACTTCACAAACATTTGAAATGAACATATCTGGGAGACTCACCTAACTTTGAGTCCGTCCCCGCATCCTGACGGCTGCTGCGCTGAGCGCCGTTTGGACGCGGCTCCGGCTGCCGAGTCGCGCAGGCAGGCGGCGGCGGCGGCGGCGGCGGCGGCGGGCGCGGAGCCAAGTGCGCTCATGACGGAGAGCGCTCACATCTGCCGGGGATAATCTGCAGAGCCAGCTCCAGGTGCTCCGAGTCTCTTCAGATGATGATGAGCACAAAATCACTCACTGCCCTCTTGAGCTATTTTCTCTCCATAGTCCACCGCCCACCCCACCCAGCCATCCACCCCTCCCTCCATCAGTGCTGCCCCACCCTCCTCCTCCTCCTCTTCTTCCTCCTCCTCCTCCTCCTCCTCCCCACCACCAACCAACCAACCATCCTCGCATCACCTCACCACCGCTCAGCATCAGTCCCTGTGCGTCATCGCAACCAGTCACTATCGAGCCCTGCACGACTTTTCCAGCGGTCGTCACTCACCTTGACAACTGTCAAAGTGCAGAGATGAACAACCACAACAAAGTTATCTCTTCTGACATTTGAAATAATTATCGGTGGTGGCCCTGTCAGACTTTCAATTAAAGCCAACTTTCTTTTAAGTGCATTGAAGCATTTTAACGACTTATAAAGTGCTTCTATATATATATATATATATATATATAATATATATATATATATATATATATATATATATATATATATTACATATCAAATATGAGTTTGATTTGTTCATTTTTTTCACATTCTTTATCGGTTTAATTCAAGTAAATGTTATGCTGCTTGTTATATTACGTGTTTTAAGTAAAAAAATATTTTTTTTAAAGTTCCTGTTTATAAAATATTCAATGATGTGACTCAGAAACACCCAATTAAACTTTAATAACTGTATGAACTGAAGGGTCTGTGAATATTAAGCCTCTGCATCGCAGCCATGTCTTTGTAATTAAATAATCCAGACCTTTTCTCTCAAATGACTCATTGTTAATTTGTTCACTGAAGTCTGAACCAATCAGAGGGACTAATTGGTTCAGACAATGACTAAAGATTAACAACGATATTGTTGCTGTGTGCATCACTTGTGTCAAACTACAAATAACAACCTGTAGGAGACCCAGCGAATGTGTGGTAGAAATAAAATAAAAAAATAAAACATGGATCTTATTGTTACAAATGGTGGCATTCAGATGGAAGTAAAGTAGAGCAAAAATAAAGACTTTAAAAAATTAAGTTAACTTGCAAGAACAAAAGTCCAAAATCCGGAAATGTGAGAAACTAAAGCCCAAAAACCAAACCAGGAGCATCAAGCAGAGCTGAGGAGCATAAAAAACAGAACACTTATATACTGAGGGAATGGTGGAAAATGACATTAGATGCTGATATGTTAATAATCTAAGATAAATGAACCCAACTGCACCAAATTAACCAATATGATAAGACCGTGATGACAATATCAAAGGTAATGACAGCGCTAACCCAAAATATTACCAGACTTTTCCTAACAATAGAAGAAGTTAGGGACTAACACAAAAGAAAATAATAATAATAAAAAAAACTAACACCTGTGGATCATGAGAATTATTGCTTTTTAATTCCAGCTGTGCTCTATGTTGGTCTTTCACATAAAAGTCCAGCAATTATCATTCATGGTAACAGGAGACATAATAAATGCAACAGCCATATCTAGATTACTTATTTTCTGATCTCCTCACATCTGGACAATTATGCCAATTTTGTCACAATGGACGTAACTATGACAATTATTCCCCTCAGTCTAACACCCATTTCCAGGCAGAAAGAAAACCCCACCACCATAGATTGATTGCAGACACTTTTTTCTTCCTTACTTCTCCAGACAACACATCTGAATCAACCAGATAAGCAGGTCAGTACAATAAACATGAAAAATGGCAAATAAGTAAGATTGAATGCAAGTGCTTAATTAAAGTCAGGCATGTTCCCCTTGTTCAACCAACTAAAAGGCAGCAGACAGAAGAAAAACAAGCATCCATGAATAAATACTGTACATTGATTTCTTTTCTCTCTTCTTTTCTTTTTTTTTTTTTTTTTTTTTTTTTGAGGTCACTTTTTTCCCACACTGTGGTCAATTCCTCAAGTTTAGCCAGACGGAGCATTTATCGTTTCTCATGAAAATGTGGAAGCCAGCTCAGACAGATGTTAAGTCTGTCTGCGAGGTGAACAGCTGACTGAAGGGCAGCTTCGGCGCTCAATCAATGATGAGACTTTCATGTTACAGTGCTTGTCTTTTCTTTTTTCCTCCTTCCTCCCGCTGCGAGGTTCTGGGGTGAAGAAATCGACTTCTTCACGTCAAAAGCAAAAAATCACAATCACAACTTTCTGCTCTCTGAAAGCACGAGTCCAGTGGAAGGACATAATTGGACGTTTTTTGTTCCATATGCTTGAGAAATGGCTCATTTCATCAAAGCAAATGTGAGAAATAGAGCTGCTTTTGGGATTGACAAACAATTTTCACAGCAATTTGGATTAGAGCTGCCATTACCTTTGAGGAGATTATGTCTGTTATGGTGCATGTGTGCACCATTATTATTATTATTATTATTAATAATAATAATAATAATAATAATAAATCCCTTTAAAAGTCAGTATTTAACAAACATCGAGAGTTGTGACATTGTGTCATGGATGCAGAACAAGCTGATGATTCATGCTTTAAAGGATTGACTGAAACGAGGAAGCCAGGACTCTCATCTGCTTGTTAGTGGCTCGACTGTGCTTTGTAAAAGTAATTAAAGCCGTCTGACTCGCCCATTCACTGAGGTGCACCGCTGCGTTTGAGACACACTGAGATCAATATCCCCCCCGTGCAGGAATACACACTTACCATCACAGGGGCAACAACCCTGAGCCAAGCATTCGCACTAATGTTGGCATTTTCAGTGACATTCAGACTAATTGCGTATCAAGAGCGTTCCCCTCTGGCACTTCTGACTGATAAAATCTTTTTGAAAGAAATTCAGATTTCAGCAGGTAACCGAAGACAGCTAACATCATCCAGGAGTTGATACAAGAACCGTCTCCTTTTATTCAGACACATTTGTCATTGAACCCCTTGCTTCCTGTGTGTCATGCTGTCATCTTTTCCTTTCAGCATCGCAGTTATACTGTGCCTGCCCTTCTTTTTCATTTTATTTTATTTTTTTTTTTAATTCGTGAGCCTAAGGCAAAAACAGAATTGACATTTTGGCAGAAGTGGGATATTTCTGTCATTGCGCAGATGATGTTCTCCAGGCTGGGTTTCAGCAGTCAACCGTCCACCTACACACACGCACTAACTCCAGCCTCGCACCTGAAACCACTGAAGCCATCGGAGGTAATGGAGTGGATTTGAAGACTCATGACTGTACCGCGCAGCAGCGACCCCTGCATGGGCGTCAAACCCGTCGCTTTCTGGCATCAGTTTGCTGGGTTTGGAGCCAAGTGCTTGGATTCTGTGATTAAATCAAAGTTGACAAACCTTCTCCTAATTAATTTTTCCTAATCACCAACTCTGGCGTAGTTATAGAGTCTCAGCAGGAAATCTCAGGCCATGTTTCTGTTCTCTAAGGCAAAAAAGGCAGTGGTTAATATGATGTTCTTACAGGTGATTATGTCTGGGAACACGGGCTTCACATAAAACTCATCTCTTAATAAGAAATAACATTAATAAAACTGGAAATGGCACATCGTATCAATGACTTAGATTCTTAGCGTGCTATTATCTTGTCATGGTTTAGGGGTTTCAACGTATTTGACATGTTCTTTCTTTAAGGGTGACGACGCAGCAGATAACTTCAATAAAATAAAAGCAGGAATGATAAATTAAATTATAAAAAAAAAAATGAAGACACCTATTAGAAATCTCTGTAAAATATCAAGACTGGAAAACCTACATTTGGGGACCACTCAATTTCATTCCCTCTAAACTGGCTAAAATTACACATTGCTTTGTGAATCTATTCTTTAGTTTGGAAACACATTTTTGCTCATATGTTTTGATAAAAAAAATATGTTATTTTACAGACTTAGAAAAGCTGGATTAGATCTCAGTATGTCATTGTTCTTTCTAAATAAAGAACAGATTACGGCTTCAAAGTAATGCACACAAATGAACTCACTCTAATATTTGGGCAAAAGCCACAGCAAAACCACACATTATTAACAAGATTTGTGCACGAATGTGGCTGGACATTTGACCACTTCTCAGATCAGAAATGGAGGAACTCATTGAAAGTGGTTCGTTTCCTGGCATGAACCCAGCTTTGGTACATGCGGTTTCAAAGGATTCGGGCCGTGGCCTTTCCAGAAGCTTAATCGAGAACTTGCTTGATCCTTTCCAAAATCAGCTTTGACGTCTGTTTTGGATTGTTGTCGCGTGGGAATACCTAAATGGTTTTCACTCATCTGACCCAAAATGTCACCGTCTGATAAAAGAATAACGTCAGGATATTTAGGAGCAGCAAGTGATTCACCAAGACTCAAACCTGTCTGAACATCAGTGGCAATCTTTGTGTGAAATAACATTCAAATTGTGGACCCACTTGATTTGTCATATTTCATGTGATATATATATTAAAGTTGTAGCTTTATTGCTATTAGAGCACAAGTTATAACCTTTTATGTTTTCGTTTTATTTCCACTAATGTTATCTTTTTATGTCTTTCATTGTCATAAGTTTTTATTTTTCTTCATAGGTAACGTTGAGTTGAGGGCAATTGACAAGCGTCACTGTCCACAGAAAAGTGAGTTTGGCCGAGGAAATGATTGCCCCAAAATCAAACTTGAGTGACATTTACATCTTCTTAAGGACAAGCCAAAAGCCTTCTGGAGAAAACGTTTGCAGTCAGATGAGACAAAGACAGAGCTGCTTGGTCACAACAGAAAAAAAAAATAAAAATGACTGGAGAAGCTAATATGAGGTTTTCAAACAGAGAACAACGTATCTGCTGTCAAGCACAGCGTCATGGATAGGATCTGTTTTACTGGCAGATGTATAAGAAAACGGCACTTTCTTCAACTTCTCCTCTGATCAACTGCTGGATTTAAATTTTGACACAGTCGGGTGTTCAAACAAGACAATCGTCCAAATGACATGGTCAAATAAAGCAGACAGCCACTGTGCCTCTATAATCGTCTCACATTCACATAAATTAAGCAAATATCCAGCCAGGATTGTGAAAAGAGCCATTCAGGCTTACTGTGGGCATATGTTTCAACATGTGTGTATTATATTCACCCTGCGTGGATCAGAAAAAATCCAGACTTGTGAACCCAGATCTTCTTTGCAAAATTCATCGAAGCTGTTTGTTGTAGGACGATTTCACCTGAAAAAAAAAGCAGGAGTTCAGAAAGCTCAATAAAAGCCTGGAGTCAGTATTCATGCTGACGATCAGTGGAAAGTGTGAAAATCACATTTATTGCTATTTTACGTGCTGCTACGAACATCAAATTCAGATTTTAATGTCAGTCCCAAACATTACGCTGTTGCAAGCAGAGAAGTCAACCAAAGTAACGACGCATGCAACAAATCTTTGCCCAAAATGTTGCTCAGTTTTCTGCAGAGGATAAAGATCTTCTATTGCAAGGTTTTTTCCTCTAATGCTCTTTCCCACTGAGAGCGTTAGAGGGAAAAATCACAACATAAAAAGAGATTGACAGGGAGCAGTATTTCATAATGTTTTATAATTTGAATATCCTGTTGCTCTGCTGCACCTATATGCACATCAGATCACCTCTGCAACCTGTTGGATCCGAGCCTGAAGAGGCTGAGCTCCAGGCACACAGCCTGATGTTCAGACGGTGTAATATTGCTTTTGGGTTTTCACTATGGTTCAATCTGCAGATGTTTCAATGGCGAGCGACATAATTAACTCCAGAATGAACAGGTCTCTAATTGCTGCTCTTTCGCTCTTTAGCATCATGCTCAGGGTTTCCAGGAGGGCAAACGCTGCCGTCTTCTGAAAGCGCGGATGCACAGTCATGAGAGCACACACGCTCTTAACTCAGGGCTCAGAGCACTCAGCTGTTAAGCGCGGGCATCACGGCCCCGTGGCGGGGATTATCTAACATGACAGCACACTCTGGCCCCCCCTCTGAGTAGCGCCTATCATCTGATTAATTAATCAGCACTCCAGATGCCCCATTGGCAGCAGTGTGATTTGGGAATTTGAGGTGGCTGAAGCAAAGAATGCACATGACATCAGATTGAACTTGTAACGCACGCACGTTTCGGACAGCTACAGCTGCAAACGTCAGAAAACACATCCAGACGACAGATGAAGTAACGTCTTAAAACAAGCAGCAGGGGGGGCACTTACAACTAGCTCACTCCATCACTCTGACTCTGTTCTGGCCACATTCATTTTGAATTCATGACTGTAAAATAATTGCAATTTTTTTCCTGTCTGGGAGATTGTTTCAAGGCCACGGAGCAGACAAATTAAATGCCATGTTTCTAAATTTGGATAGAGGTGGGGAGTGGGGTGTGTGTGTGTGAGCAGCTCATTCATTGACCTTGAGTGTAGGTATTGAACATCAGAGCGAGAAGATTCAGAACAGATAAGAGGAGGGTTATTTAGCGTACAAAGGAGGATGCACCAGTGACACAGCCTTGATGTTCACTGGGGATCAGAGCCGATACGCAGTCACAGAGCATTAGACTGGCATGATTAATAAAGCAAAGGTCACATCTCACCTCTGTTGTCAACAGTGCAGACAGCAGTGAGCACATGCAACATCTCTGCACTATTAATTATTGAAAGAGACATTAATGAATTGTATATGACTGTATTGATTCAATGCAAAACTGAATGGCTGTCTAGTTAAAAAGACAGGGCCTTGCAAAAAGTATTAATATTCCACAAACTCGTTTGCATTTAGTCACATTGGAACTAGAAATTACATTGTATTTCAATACAGTTTACTTGTGCAAAGTCATTGCTTTGTTCACAGATAAAAATCTAAAACGGTATGTGGTGCATTCAGACCCCTTAGGAAGCACAAGGAAGATACTTTGAGTTAAACATTTTATGTTTTTGTCTGCACATCCACTTAAAGACATCATGCTCGTGATGACACATGTTGGTAACAGCATCATGCTGTGGATATGCCTTTAATCAGCAGTGACAAGGAAACGTCTCACAACTGATGAAAAAATGAATAGAGCAAAACACAGGAAAGCAAACTGTATAGATATTCACTCTAAAGAAAAAGCAAAAATGGCTCCTTCTGCAAATACACCTAAAATACTGAGCAGTCTGAGTAAGCTGTAAAGGCATCATAATAAACAACTTCTCTGTAGGAATACCAAGTGCAGATGAATTGTTTCAGGGCTTGTCTTCCTCCTGAGATCGTCAATATGCCTGTAAAACTATAACGATGCGACTCACAGCCAAGGTCAGAATCTACATGTATGGCCACTCTTGACTCATCCTGCCTCAAACAGAGGTAACGTTTATCTAAATAAGTATCTCCATTAATTATTTATTTCTGGGCCATGGTCTGCAGTTGCAGTCTTTAGCTGTTTTATTTATTTTATCTGCATGACTAATGAGCTGACGCTATTCGCCTTTGTAGATGCAAACATCCAAACAGCAACTTTTAAGAGGCCTGGGAGAATTGATTACTTTTATCTTTTTAGGATAATATTGGTAATTAACTGGTCCAATTGCAAAGATTTATAGCATAATGTGATGAATGGAAAACCATTTTAATTTAGTTTAAAAGAAAATCTGATCCTGTCATCTGCTTGATACTTCAAAAAATAAGGTTAGATCATTTTTATCAAGTGAAAAATAAATAAGCACTTATTTTTAGTTGCATTTTTTCCCTCTCAGCTTGCAATATGATTTTGCTGTTGTTGTTGCTTGTGATTTTTAAAAGCTCCGCTAAGGCTGAAAAACAGGACTCAGAGTGTGAGTTTCAGCTTCTGTTTCCACAGAAATGCGTCAAAAATCTGCCGAGAAGACAGAAACTCTATCATCTGGGAACACACAGTGATTACAAAGCTGTCCTGAGAGACAGAACAGCTCGAGTATTGAACGTCCACATAACAAAGTGAATCCTGACGCTGCAGTGTCATTCTGGACTGACCTGCTCGCTTAATTGAGAATTGACTGCGCCCTCTCGTGGGGGGACGTGGAAAATGCAAGTGGTGACTGAACCAGCCTTTGGTACCTGTGGCCAGGAAGAAAGTAAAATTAGAAAGTAAAATTTCACTCTATGTGTAATAAATTTATTTAATATATGAGTTTCACTTTCTGAATATTATTATTTTCTGGAAAGAGTGACAAAAAGTTGAGCTTATTGGTAAATTTAAACTACACAACGTAAAACAACAAACGTTTTCACTGCGTAATGATGACGTTTAGGCTGCGCATGCGCACAGCCGCAGATCTGTTAGCCGTCGACACGGAAGACTCGGTTTCTAAACAACACCTCGATAATGCTGCGGAAGGCGTTGTAGAAATTTGTAGTCACTCTGTCTTAACTTAAGTTAAATTTTACTTTGCTTTAAAACTATTACAGCTTCTGAGGTAAACATAAAAAAATGGCTGCCGCACTGTTAGCTGTATTGTAGCTTGTTTGCCTCAAGAACGCCGAGAGTAAACTGGCAAGCTGCCGGAAAGCAGACGAAAATGCCAGCTCGGAATATTGTATCCCACGATACTCCTAGCAACAAAGTTAGGTACTCCAGGTTAGCCACAGATGATGACGGCTACATTGATTTACAGGTAAGAGATGACCAAGTTAATGCTGCTGCTCAGTCCTCTTCGGTCATTAAAGCTGAATGTCTGCCTTTTAAATTGCTTTATTCAATCAACACAGTGTAATAACTTGGATCTGGAACAAAACAATACGGAGGTAAAAAAAAAAAATCACTTGCAGTCTTTCACTGCAATTGAGGTCACTGTGTTTGATTTTTTTAATGTCATTCTATTTTATTGTTGATTGTGTATTTTATATTTGTTTAATATAGATTTGGTTTGTGTGGCTACGACCTTGCTCGGGTCCCTTTTCTTAAAGAAATCTTTGATTTCATTTTTTGTTTGTCAAGGGTATAAATAACATAATAAAAAACGTGATTTCAAGCCATCATTCTCTGCCAGTGACCCTACAAGGATGAGCAAGTGCATGATGGATGGATATTTGAGATTTTCTATACTGCTCACAGTGTCAACTAACTTTTCCAAAACTTTTATTTTGGGTGGAATGATGGTGTAGCTTGTTCAGGTGCTGGAAGATTGGCAAGTTTGTTTGACACATTGACATTGATGCAGTAAATAACAACCCACAAAAAATGCATAGATAAAAAAAACACTGTATTGTCCAGGAATTTCTTTAGTTCAAATGACATGAGTTAGTTTTAACCCTCTCTGGCTCAAATTACTTGCAAAGACTAGCGAAGTAGCACTGAGCTGTTGCAAATCTGCAACATCTGCCTGGAGGGGGTTAAGATGTCTTACACTTTTTTTGATAGCCAATTTATTTTCCTCTACAGTTCAAAAGGAGCCCACCCAAGGTCCCATACAAAGCGATTGCCCTCGCCTCAGTGCTCTTTCTCATCGGCTCTACGTTAATCATCATTGGTGCTCTTCTTTTGGCTGGATACTTTGGAGTTACTGTGAGTTCCTTTTAAAAACAGACCTTTCTTTCTCTTATGTTTGTGTGCTGTGCTAAGTTGATGTTGCTTAATAAAACATTACCGCATGTTTCAGAACTCCGACCGAACGGTGCCTGTGCTGATTATCGGCATCATCGTTTTCCTGCCTGGGATTTACCACTTACGGATAGCTTACTACGCATCAAAGGGCTATCCGGGTTACTCCTATGAAGACATCCCAGACTTTGATGACTGAACCACGCCAAAACCTCAGCGGCAGTCTCACTTTGCTTGCATGCATTCATGTATCGCTTGCACTGAAATTAATGGCTAATAACAGCTTATAGCTTAATTGTTTTTTTGGAAATCAGCATTCTTTGTGTAGATTTAAATTTCTAGTTGGTTTGTGAATGTGTTTATTTCAATAAATTATGAAAATGATCTTTTAACAATTCATTCGCTTTATGCCCTTTGTATGATTCAAGTGGTTTATTCTTATAGTAAATGATAATTAACTGAAACCAACCAAAATCATTATTCTCAAAGTTTGAGTGTCAAATTTCCACCTTTCAGAAGTAGAATTGATTCATAATGTTACATCCAGTGCAATAGCTTGGCCTGTAATTTACTTATGTATACAAAAAATCAAAAAAATAGTTTCCCGCACTATGATCCTTACTGTTTATCAGCTAAAGCCTGCCTACTTTCCAGATTTGCTTCTTTTTTTTTCTTGGAGGATTTTATGTGATTAATTCCGATCCTTTGATCGCCATATGGTGCACCTGGTCCCTGTGAGTCAGCATTATCAAACAGGGCACTACTGAAGCAATTACAAGCCTTTCCCCTTTCTGATCTCGGTTATCAGCCTATAAATATCCGTGATTTTAAAGAGACCTGATGAAAGGCCCACCCCATTTTGCACAGCCGGACATCATAATCATGCAAAGATGCTGCTGGTAAAGGTTGGCCTCCTGTAATCCCGTCAGATGCGAGGCTACCTGCTGCTCTCCAGAGGGATAATTCAAGGATGCTTCTCTGCTATTAATTGCCAACCCTCGATCAGTTACCAACTGTACCTGGTATTAGTCAGATCGGATTATTCTCCGTAAATCAGCTCAGGAACTTCTTCCCAACAGAAAGGCTGTTTTCTGTTTTTTCATTGACTGTTGCGTTTTTTAGGAAAGCAATAACCGACACGTGTTGCAGATATATTACAGTAGTCTGAAAATCAGCATAAGACAAAATCAAGGTGATCCTAAATTGAGAAACAAAGATTTAACAGCAGCTGCAATATTGAACTTTATTTAATTGTAAAGTTTTTGCTTTTTGTTTTCTTTGTTTTGTTTTTAATGTATTTTACATTTTTAAAAACCAGACTATAATGAAACAGTAGGATAGTAAAGGTTTTATCGCTTCAGAATGATGCGGTTTTTCCTCATCAACACCCAGCAACAAAGAGAAAGACATGTCTGAGGTTATTGAGAAGTTTCTTATAAAATGGGTCCAAAGGTGTGCAGCAGTTTTAAGTTAGTAGTGCTGCTGCCGATCTGTTTTACTCAAATATTTATCTGGTTATCAATCAATTGATGAATCGATTCATTGTCTTTATCCTTTATCCATGCAGAGGATTATATATTTTATTTTTAATATACATTATATATTTGTGCAATTATTATTAAATCTATAATGGGTTTTTTGTTTGTTTTTTTTTTATAAAGTTTTCCATTATGGGAAATATAGAAATACTGGAAAAATGTATATCAATGTGGCAACATCTGAATCATCACAATTTGTGAATCCGTTTCTTTGGGTCGCGGAAAATATAATGCAAAATTACTATTTGCCTACCTCTATTATGCTCTCTATTTGAACTAAGTAACCATTTACTAAGATCTGTAAATGGTTACAGAGTGAAAATAAAAGCATGTATGCCCGTTGAGACAAAGTCATAATTCATGTACTTATTTTATTTACCCCACTATTGCTACATTGCCCATGTTTTGTAATGAGTTACAATGTAGAAAATCGAAGATTCTTACCTATTATTACAAGCCAAAGAAAATTTGAGGTATTTTGTTGAATATATTTATTTATAGACTGTGTTATTCTCACTTTGTCTTTTTATTGCCTATTTCAATAGTTTCTTATTAGCGGCAAGTAATAACACTAATGTTATTATGTTTGTAATTATTACATATATAATAATTAACGTTACAACGTTAATAATATTATTACTACAACAATAACACTATTATAATAACATCATGCTATGATAATAAGAAACATTATAATTATTGTTATTACTATTATTATTAATATTATCAGTGTAATGTCATTATCGTGTCGTTCGGAGGGTTTGTTTGTGGTACATTACCGCCACCTAGTGGTGCTGTTTCCCGGCTCCCGATTGGCCAATTTAAATGTAACGTAAACGACGCCCCCAATGAGCGACTAATTATATTTCAATGACCAACTTCATCATTTTGCCATGACAGAGCCGCAGAAGTGATTTTAAGGTAAGATCATGGAAAATCAAATTGAACGCATAATAGAACAAGGTTTGAAACTAAAGTGCGACATTAGCCATAGCATGTAGCTAACAGCTATGTAAAAATAGAAGGAAAGACAAGAGTCATGATGCAGCCTGTTTGCTCAAACAAGTTAAGATATTTATCAGGAATATACGTTTAATTGAAAATGTACTTACTTTAGCAACGGAGGTTTTTGAAAAGTACGCTACTGCTATGTAAAGACGATAGTAAAAAATCTGTAATATTATTATTTTTTAAAGAAAACCTTAGTTACAGGAAGCCTTGACAGTATAATTAATCGATACTTGTGGACGGTTTCATTGCTGGGTGTTTATTGGCCCTGGGGTTGGAGGGAATGTTAGCTGTAAGCTGTAGGAAACGAGTCAGATGGCTGCGTGTTTTCCTTTTGTTACAGTCACCAGTGTTTCCCACCCAAAGGCGCTTTTGTTTGAGGCGCTAAATTGCCAGGTCCGGCAAGTCACAGCAACTTAGGGATCATTAACGGAAGTAAATGTTTGTCCTTTCAAAATTAAAGCATTCTATCGCCAAAATCAATGACTGAATCTGATTAAACAAAGATTCACATTTATTTTCGCGGTAAAAACACCCTATGATTTTACCCCAGTTCACCTCTGTAAAAAGAGACCAAAAGAATAGAATTTCAATTGTAAAATTGACATTTTATGTGAACTACAATTTTTTTTAAAGTAAGGTAGTTTATGTGTTATTGTACAGTTTATGTGTACGGTAACACATAAACTGTTATGTGTTATCGTACACATTACAGTTTATGAAGCCAAAACAAAAAGGGAAACGATGGCCTGCTGTGGAAAGACAAACATGTTGTAGATTATCTCTTTTTATCTCATCTTGAATAGATAGTTAATGTTTTCATTTTTGATAGTCTAATATTGCCAGAATCTATTGCAAATTCTCAAAATGCAACACTCATTTGCATTGAATTAGTTTGAAAAAATATATATTTACCTCACTATATATATTTGATCTTCCTATCACCATCACGAAAACTAATTAATTGGTGCATCTCTTAAGGTATTGTACATCATGCTCACCTAAAATTATCAAAATGTAAATAGTTTCTTTACTTACTTTGGTTAAGTAGTTAAAAATGCCAAGCTTTGAAAATGTCAAAATAACAAAAAGCCATTATAGCCACTTAAGTTTAAAAGCTCAGCTCTAATTAGAATTTAGCTAGAAATTAGTTTTTCTGCTGGTGTGTGTGTATATATGGGCAGACCTTTATTTTGAAAGCGCGAACGGGAAGTGGCTCGCCGTGCCGGTGCGCAACTCGACGGACGTGGTGCGCAACTCGACGGACGTGGTCACGGCCACCGTAGTGGAAGGAGGGATGAGGCTAATGAGAGGAGGGACACCGCGGGGACAGAGACCACGGCAGAGCTTTAACTCACCCTGCGGCGAGGAGCCCTGCGCTGCTGGACGCTCTGCGTCGCCTGGAAGAGTCGCTCCTTTTATTTTAAACAGCGGAAAGCACTTTGAGCAAGTTTGCATCCAGGAGAGCACTGTAGTGAAAGTTAAACTTAAATGGGCTGAGGTTGGATGCTTTTCGTGTTTGTTTTCACTGAAGAGGCAAAGAAGTTTGCGGGACGTCCGGTCACCACGGAGAGGCGGGATTAACATGGTTTCTCGGATTGAAAGGTCAAAAAATGTGTCCACCTGCGCCCCGTTCCTCTTGATCTAAGCTTATTTTTGACCACAAATATCCGTGTCGGTAAAGAAATGGACACTTAGACCGGCCTGCAAGAAATCTCTGAAGAAGAGCATCCATGGATTGAGAGGCTGTACTTCCAGCTCAAGTGTAAAGTGCCTCATGAAAGGTAAGGTGCAGGTGGAGCCAAGACGTCCACTAGTGATTAAACCCTCAGACCGGAAACATCTTTTGTTTAGTCATTTAAACCAGGCGCACTTCCCTGATCTTTTGTTTGTTGCGTGTTCATTTCTACACTCAATTAATCCCGCTTTTCCACAGCTTAAATACCCCCAGTAACAGCCACGCTCACTATCCTGTGCCCTCACTGTAAAAGTGTTGTTGTTTTGGGTATCGCATGCACTACTTGTAATCTGTGAGCGGGTCTTTTTTACATGGTAAACCATTCTAAAGAGGTTTAACTGTCTGCATTGCCCTTTTAAACCAGCAGCTCACCTCCCTGGATTAAAACAAGGAAAAAACTGGGAGCAGCGCATATGTATGCACAAACTATTTGAAAAGCCCGTCTTCTCCTGTGGCATGCATCAGAGTCCCAGAGTAACACAAAAGATGCGCCTGTTTTGTTCAGCAGAAGATCTTGGTGTTTGTGTCAAGCGCATCAGTTTAGCAGCCTGCTGCCTCTGTACGGTGCAACCGTGTGGGACAAAAGCGAGTTCCAACAGTTTTACACAAAGGACTGCAGCTCTTCTTCGCACTGTAGTCCCGCTGATCACTTTATTGAGAAATATGCTTCCCTGCAGAGGTCTGCTGTCTCGTTACGGATATGTATTTTCAAACCCACCTTAGTAAGATTCACATCAATAATAAATCCGCTTGGATGCAAATGTCTTTGATTGTTTTTGACGATTTCACGGTAAGTTTCAACATGTATGTTCTTCTAAAAAGGAACCCTCTGTTGGAAAAACATCTTATCTTTGCTGTTTATAACAGTTGTACTTCACGGGTTTGGAAAAGCCCCTGAATTATTTACACAAAACAGCGAGAACCTGTTTTTCATTAGGAATCAGTGTTAAACACGGTATCATCCAAGCCCTCGAGGTGCTTAAAGCCTGTGCACGTGAGGAGCTCAGGTGTTGCTTTACACAGTGATGTTTCTTAATGCTTGTCGTCTGGAAAGCCTCTATAGTTAATCCCATATATTGCATTGTTTAAATATGAAGATTACATGACCAGA